GAATAGCAGTCGATCGAAATACGAGGGAGAGGGAGGAGTATATCGGTCGCCGAGTAATCGGATCACGCTTAATTACACGGTGAAAATCAACAGTTAATGAAGAGAATTAGCGAACGGTTTGCCGGGAACGGAGGAGGGGAGGTTAACGAGGTTCGAAGAGAGAAGTCTTGAATTTCGCGTGTTTCCCCAAGTTTCGTTGCCGCGGTCGACAAAGTCGTAAAGTCGTTCGCTATGTAATCGTAATATCGAGAAAGTTGTGCATCTTACGCGTAATCTCTCCATCTTTATCATCCGCGTATTTTTTTCGAATATATTAATCGTTGGATCGTTTGAGCGAGAGGAAAAATCCATTTCCGGCGGCAGGTATACAACAGGGGCGAAGTTTGCGAAACCTATCAACGTTTGCCCCGCATCAGCGGAGACATTAATACGGGTTGTCGTTGGCGATAGAGTTGGCAAGCAAGTTGGACGGGTGGGTGGTTGGCTGGTTGGTTGGTTGGTTGGACGTGTCGCGTGCTGGGACGTTTTCGAAGCTCGAAATTGCCGGAGTTTTGCGGCAATTTAACGCTCCCACGATCGACGGGACAATTTTCCTCTCTCAGCCTTTTCCTCTTGCGCTTTCGCGAGCCCGATCGCGTGCATCGTTGTACGCGGAAACGTGCGCAATTCCTCCTCCTCCTTCTCTTTCGCTTCGTGCATCTAGACGCCTCGTCGTCGTCGTCGTCGGACAAAAACGATCTCGTACGGTTTTATGACTATGTATGGCGACGGCTAACGGCTCGATGAAAGCTCGATACCGTCAAAGAACATCGAGAACGTGGAAGTCTTTTTAACATCTCCTTTCACCATCCACCGAATGCTTCTACATAGCTTCTTTGTATAGAACTTGTTCTTATTTCTCTTTTTCTTCTTTTTCCGAGGTGACATCCTCGTCAACCGAGAAAGAAAGCAAAAAAAAAAAAAAAAAACACGAGGATCGATCTCCTTCTTTCGACGACCAATCGCGAGAAAGCGCGATATAACGTTGATATCTACTTAGCGGGTATATTATATTTAGCAGCGATGTTCGATTGAATCCCTTTATCGAAGCGAAGTGAAAAAAGGCGAAGCGTTTCATTTGCGAGTATGATGCGAAATGCGAAATATTATTGTTTCTCTTTACACGCCGCGTCACGAAAATCCATCCATCCGATCGCTGTTTATTAATGCAACGAGTGTGTTCAATGCGTGAAACTCGTTGGGAACGATATGTGGGCCGATCGATCGCGCGTCGCAATTAATATCGCCGACTTGACGACGCATTCGAGACGACGTCGTCGTATCGAGACACGTATTCGATTTCGATCCGCGTGCGTAAATTTCAAGAGGGAAAGGGAGGACAGAAAGAAAACTAGCATTCCAGCGTTCCATCGTTCGTCGACCGATCAATGGTGGCGAGGCGATCAATTTTCGGGCAACGATCGATCGACCGATCGATCGTTGATCCGTGATCCGCGATTTCCTGTCGCCTCCGCGAGAAACGGAAAGGAAGGAGAATCCTCCCTCACCTGAATCCAATAAGGCAGGTAAAATCCGGAACAGGCGAGGATCGATGCCACGGTGGACAGTGTCGCCCACAACGCACACAACACTGTCATCTCATCGGTCGTTTCGAATCGTCCTCTCTCTCTTCTCGATGTTTCTCCGCAGCTCGGTTCCTCGCCGGTATGTCCCTACTCTCCTCTCCTCTCCTCTTCTCTTCTTCTCGTCACTCGCGCATCGCGAGCAAATCCGCTATCCAACTCTCGAAGCCGGGATCCTCGACGTTTTTTCCTCCTCCTCCTCCTCCTCCTCTTCGTTGATCAAACTCGATTCACCAAAAACTAATAAACCGAATACACTGAAAAAACGAACAAACGAAACTTCACTTTTTCTTTTTTCTTTCGTTACCGTACTTTTACACTATCGAGGATCGACGCGACCTCGCGCGCCCGTCTACGCGACCGACCGACCGGATAAAAATAGAAACGCGTTTAAACGCGTGAAACGGGAGAGGAGACTCACGGTCAAGGTTCGAGAAGGGCGAACGGTATTCGCGCTATCCTCTAACGACGGTCACGATCCATCTGTCGGTCGACGTCTCACCACCGCGTCTCGGAACGAAGAACGTTTCTCGAGTGGANTCGGTCGGAGGGGCACGCGTCGTTCGGCATGATCGCGAGACGAGAAGAATAACCGAACGCGTTAGAAGGGAACGTGGTTGTTAATTATAGCCGAGAAGCGGAGAAGCGGCGGAACGCGTCGAGTCGGAGTCGGCGGTTCTCGAGAAAAATTCATCGCTTCGTCGTTCGGTTCAGCGGCGGAGGAGGAAGGTGAAAAAAAAAGGGAACGGACAAAGAGGAGGATTGCGCGCTCTCCTTCGTCCCCGACACTTTTACTCCTCCACCGATGTTTAATTATAGACACGCGCGCGCGAGCGCGAGAGAGAAAGAGGCGGCCGAGGGATGGTGCTCGGCGCCGCTTCGTGACTGCGACTGAACCGAAGGAACGGTTCGCTTTTCCGCCGGCTCGCTCCGCCACGCCGCTCTCTCTGCCTTCGTGCGCGTCGCCTCGCCGAATGTCGGGACGCGCCGCGCCGCGGCGCGCGCTCCACTGCCCTCTTCCCCTCCCTCCACAACATGTGTGCGCTATTCCTATACCACTTCTATACTCGTTTCAACGCGAGTAGCAGCTTGCTTTTTTCCCCTCTTCTCTCGTCTTCCTTTCTCTTGGCATCGATGCGTTTGAGAAAAAGAAGAAAAGAGGAAAAAAAAGAGAGGGGGGAGGAAAAAATATTTTTAATCAAGATGACCACCTCAACTCCTTTCCTCTTGGCTACCTGTTGATGTCTTCCTTGCCTTCGTCTCGCGATTCGTCTTTATATAGAATAATTGAATGATCGGTAATCGTTAATCGTTAACCGGTTATACCGTTAATTTTACATCGTATCGATCGGATTTCGAAATAATGTATAGGTTCGCGTGTGATCCGTCCAAGAGAGCGTGTGAAAATATAGGAGGAAGGGACCGTTTTATTTTTCCACTATCCCCTCCGTGCTGGTGTACGGTAGACTATGATAATATTTATCAACAAGCAGACGTGCATTTTTCTCTCCCGCAGAGATAGGTCCGGAGGCATCTGGAGGGCACGTGCCCGGTCCTGATCCCTCTACCAACACACTGAACGCCATCAAAATCGATCGATGATGGACCGACCGACCACCCGATGGTTCGGCGAGTTCGAAATTTCCCATCGCCTTATTAATCGCGACCTACCTACCTATCTACCTACTTCGCGATTAAAAGTTGGATCGAACTTTTTCGCGCGAAATACGAAAACTACTCGGCTTTGATTCCCCGCGAAACGATAGATCGCAAGGTAATACATATACACGTACATGAAACAGAAATCCGTCTCGTTTTCTCGGTATATCGAGGAAACACGAGTCACGAGCCTATTGGATTCGTATTGGAAATGTAGCGTGGCAATGGTAAGGCATCAACGACTGTCTGACTCGTTCGAAATCCAAGTTGGCCTACAAGTGTAGACTACTCTTTCTTCTCTCTCTCTCTCTCTCTCTCTCTCTCTCTCTCTCTCT